CCCCAAAACCCCAAACCCCCAAAACCCCAAAACCCCCTTTATAATATTGAAATTTAATGTTCAACATTTTAAGTGATAAATAATTCCAAATTTATATATAATTAGCTTAATTTAATTGTAATATGGATTGTAATACTATTCTTAACTTCTCTTGCTCATTCAGTTTTATCTGATCCGAAGGAATCATCAATCTCTTCAGCTATGTTATTGCTCTTTGTTCTCTGCCTCATAATTTTCCTTTTTTATTCCTCTTTCAAAGGTAATCCCTTGTCATTCTTTCTGTAAGAAATTTCGTTGTCAGAGAATGATTTATCTTCAAAAGAATTATCAGCAATACGATTCATATTTTTCTCCTCTCTCTTTTATCTAATTTACTTTAAAATTTGGTCAGCTGAGGGAAGTTTAAGATTGTCGATGTTTGGTACACTGATGTATTTGAGAGCTTAAACATTTGAAAGCTACTTGGTGATTTATTTGTCAACTTTAGCTTGTGAGCTATTTTTCATGCTTTTGTTCTTGAAAGAAAGCATTCTCATGAAATTCTTTTACTACTCTCTCTGAAGAATCTCCATTCCCTCTAGTTCTTGTTCATTCTCTTCGAAATCTGATATTTGCAAAGGATTAGAAAGGAGAGTGACAGCAGATGGTCTTACTCCAGTTTTTATAGTTCGAAGAGTATCATTGCCTTAGTGAGAGCTAAGCTTTTTGATAGCTTCATTTCTTATTTTGATAACTGCTTCATCCCACTAAATGTAATCCAATACATACTTAGTTAGATCTAGAATTCTACTTATGGTATAGCTATTTTTAGAACCATGTCTCTTTAATGAGTTGAGTCTTCTTTTCATTCTGTTATCATAGTAATTGAACATCTCATCCTAGTCATCATTGAAAAACGTAATTAAACTTTTCTACATTCTTTAGAAGTGCAACAAATCGAGCTTATAAATATGCTATGGAGTGAATGTACTTGGGAAAGTTTTTATCACTAAATCTAGATTAACTGTACTTTCCTCTTGATTCTTTTAGGCTATAGTATATCTGCCAATGAAACTGTTCAGTATTTTGCCTTCATCTTCAGTTATGTTTAGATAACTATTTTACTGTTTATCTTTATTCATGAAATCTATCAAATCATTGATATCATCTTTGTTGTTAGAAATCATTAATTTAGCTATTAGCATTTTGAATTAGTCAGAAAGCTCAGGCTCTGTCTATTAAATCTACTCTCTTGCTGAGTGCACAGAAAAATCAATAGAGCTGTACAGTTGATTGGTGGTCTTCCTTTTAGAGAATAGAGCATGCTGCTGTCTGTACGCTTTTGTATAAGGGTTACCATGAGATATTTGCATATAAGCTGCTATTACCATCTCCTTTCTAATAACATAGATGTCGTCCAATTTCAATTCATTTTCGTCTTTATTAAGTTTTAATTTATTTGTAATTGAGAGTTTCGATGTGAAAAGTCTTCTCATATTCTATCTTTGATTGTATAGATTTGAGGATGTTTCTGCCACCTTATGGAGCTAAGTAAACGCCCGAATGATATCTATTAAATTAGCAACAAATAATTACCTTTGTAAATATAGTACTTATGTCTCTCTAGTTTCACCTTCTCCTCTTCTCCTTAATCGAAAAGAACGCTATTGTCTAAGCATAAAATATTCATTAGCATGCAAGTGTCCACTATGTTTACATATAATAAGAAAAAGAATCCGAAAAATATCCATGATATAAGGTAACCTAATTTATTCCATTTGCCATCAATTTTAGTAATTTAATACGAAGTTTTAACTATGATTAGTGGGTTATGTAGGATCATATAAACCAGAAAACCAAAAATTAAAAAAATTCCCTAAAACCAGAAGTAAGAACTCTTAAAGTAACGAGAAAACTTTTTCATTTATTCCTTGCTTGGAGCAAAGATTACGAATATTGCTGAGAAAAAATTCAAGGGAGGTGGATTCAAAATAAATATGTCATAGCCATTATTCTCGTCCAACGCTTTGAGATATTTTGTTATAAATCTATATTGATATTCGATTGCATAGAAGTCTCCATTTTTTATCATGATTTCATAGACGGTAGTTAGAATAGCAATCAGGTAGTTCATTAAAAAAACATTTGAAATAGTAACGTGTATCATATATAAAACAGAGTGAGAGGTATTGTAGTTTTTCATGTCTTTAAATTAGTAGTTTGCTAGAAAATAATCTATCATTTCTCTAAATGTGGTTGTTAGTTCTTTATAAGGCTCAGCATCTACTGACTTAACATCTCTAAACAATGTTGCGAAAATTGTTGTCATCAGAACAAGATAGCATATTAGAATAATCAAGAAGGATACAGTTTCTTTTATCATATGAAACATAGTTATAGTTACTTTAGATATCATAGAGACCACCAAGAAATAACTGAAAAATCTAAGCCAAGAAATAATTAATAGCACTATCATATAATAGTCAAAGAATCTCTTAGAATCAGGATCAAGCATTTACTCTGTAGTTGCATTGCTGATAACATTAAATGCTAAAATATTAATGCAACCAGCTGCAATATCAAAAAGCATCCAAATGTCTGATTATATCTTTCTTCTTGAAAAAGCGTTATATACGAGTCTTCCAAAAAAACTCACAAAAAATGATATGGAAAGTAAGGTTCCCAAGAAACTAATTTATCTGTAGGTTTAAAGATTGCCTTCAATAATTTTATATTTCTCTTAGTAAGTTGGAGCATCTTTATATCTTCTTTCTGTGAATAAAATCAAGTAATAGTAATTAACATATTGGAATGCACAAGCAATAAGAGAGGCACTTATAAAATCAAGCATGAAGATGATTTAAATCGATTCTTGTAGAAATTTTTTTTGAAAAATGAAATTGTAATCTTCTATATTAGGCTTAAAAGAATCTCCGATGATATCGTTAATTGTTATTTTCACTCCCTTTAATTGTTTGATTTCATGATTAAGTAAAAATTTAGTCCTTGAAAAATGGGATATTTTTCCATCAATAAGTTAGGAATCTCTACCCTCCCATATTTTATCTAGCAAAAATTTGAGCTTGTTTATCACAATATAAGTCATAATTTTATTGTCAGTGATAATATTCAAAACAGTTCTATCAGTAAAGTCTTTTTCCATAAAGATTTATTCAACATGATCAAACTGCATATATTCTAGGATAATTTTACCTAAAATTTCAAGTCTTCTAATGATTGTTGTGCATTCAGTATCGAATTTGTTAAAATCTATAAGTTAGTTTAACAAGAGGAAAACTTACGCTTCTTTATAGCTTTCAAGTATTAAATCATTAATCCTAGTGTCATAATAGGATTATAAGTAATAAGCATATAATTAGTCTCCAAATTTGGAGTCACAACTAGTTTTGCAACTTTTGCGAAATCACTATTAAAGGATAAAACGTATTCATGAATTCATACCTTAGCTATTAAAGACTCCATTTTCGGAAATCAGTAAAAAGTAGTAGATTTAGTGGATATAGAAGATTTTTCCCTGATTTAAGCCTGTCCATAAGCCAGTTAGTGAGAATCTCATTGTGCATATAATCATTGTCAAAATATTGATCTGTTAATGCATGCTTAAGAAAGTATTGTTTTTCAGTAGCCACACATTCAAAGAAGAAGTTCCAATCTGAAAATTAGTAATGATGACTTTTAAACCTTGCAGCTACTCTTTCATGTCCTACTTCGCATAATAATTTAAGAATGTTTCCTTCGCTTTTGAATCTCCAGGCCATAACTTAGCATAAAATCTTTTCCGCATCATGAAAATCAAAAAGATTGTGGATCATTTTCACAAGATCTTCAATTGACAATTGTATGAGTTTTTCATCATATATCTCAGGCTCTTACTCTTAGCTTATTGTACTACTACTTTAGTCCTACTTCTCTGGAATGAGATAGTTTTTGTTGTAAAAATAAACATTGCTGTATGAATTGAATGTAAATATGTGATTTCTTACTGTACAAATATCATGCTTTTTTGAGAAACAGCAAATTTTAAAATAGACTCTTCTAGCTAAACTGGGAATCTTGCAACTATAAGGGCAGCAATTCTATCTTCTCCAAAGTTTAGTGAAATTTTTAACAGGTTAGTATTGAAACTAATTGAAAAATCAGATCTTAAAATGGCTTTCATCTTATTGACTTCATTAATTGTCCTATAACAATCATATTTTATACTATATATTTACTTGAAATAAGTTTTTGGCGCAGGATCCTTTTTTTTCTTTGGCTTTGGTTACTCACTTTTTCTTGATCTTTTATCACCATTTCCGGAATTTTCTTCATTCTATTTAGGTTTATTTCTAGAGATGTAACTTTTTTACTGTTTCCTTTTGTAATCACTGTTATCACTTTTCAAGTTATCAGATTCAAAGTCGATCACAGGATTTAAATTAAAAGAAGGTTGTTTATTATTTTTGCTTTCCGACCTTTATCCATCTGAAGATGAAGCCTTCTTTTTAGTTGAGAAATTATCTATTGAAGAAGAAGATTATTCCATATCAAGGTCTTCTTTTCTTTTAGATTTATAAGAATACTGACTCTGATTATTCTATTTCTTTGGACTAACACTTTAATCGTAGACACAGATCAATTTCCAAACTATTATTCTTAGAAGTTTGTATTTCTTATAAAATGTGTTTGCTGTTTTTATTTGAGAATTTTGTATTGCCAAAAAAAATCCGAGCAAGGACTTATTCCAAAGGTCTTCAGCAGATTTGTCTTAGTCTATAGCTTTTTGAAGTTTATATTACTACTATCTATATAATTATTTGAGATGATTTAATGATTACACAACAGATTCTGTATCCCCCTCAAAAGCTGCTTTTAAATATGGATCAATAATGTCTGATGATATGATCCTATAAAATTAAATCAAAGCCAAAAATGATTTACACCGAATATATATTTGATTTTTATCTACCAAAATTATCAAGATTTTGAGAATTCAATTTATTGCTCTGACTTTTAGAACCGATATCTAATTCTAAGTCAGATTCATTGAATTCGTTTTTGTCTTGTTCATTATCCGAGGCCTATGACATTTATAGGTATAATATTTAAATTATTTAATCTTCTCTCCACTCTCACTCCCATTTATTCATATGGGGTTTTGGGGTTTT